TACGTGATACCTGTTCAGATTTGGTAAACCTCTATTAATTGTTATTTCTCGCTGACCTGGATTCTTTATACTTAGTTCAAGTATAAAAGTTGGCCCATCAATGGTCGACTGTGTAAAGTGCTCGACTTCAAAAAAATCCTGTACATTCCTAAACTGTTTAAATCGATATCCTTCGAGTTATTCATAAAGTACTCATCATTACCTATCCGAAAATGTATCATTCCCACTCGGAAAACAAAAAAACCCGAAATAATTGAGATTAAAAATGAAGAAAAGTTGGCCCATCAATGGTCGGACACGTTAAAATTAGTTTTGAATTTATGATAGTTACAAAAATAATTTAACTTCAAATAGTTACCAGTACATAACTAATTTAATTTGTATAACTTGTGAAGATCCTCGATGCCCTGCAATCCAATAAAAAAAGTGTCGTTGTGCTGGGTTTTTGCGTCAATGCTTTCCAGCATTGTCAAAACCTCTTTGCGCTTGATGGTAGGTAATACATTTATATGTTCCGTTATTAATTATGGTACTTATAGGCGTTCATTTGAAACACCTAATGAACTCGAACGGCGTGCTGTTATTGGTGACGGTGAAGGAACCAAACAACCACCTCATCGTGCTAGGTAGTGTTGTACTTTAATATGCACTAAGTCTAATTTAGGAATCGCCATGGTTCCTGTTGAAAATGGCGAACACTGGACTTGGTTCCTGAGGTGTCTGCAATCCGCTGGTGTCCTTCTGTCAAGCGCTTTGATTGTTTCGAATCGTATGAAAGGTATGAAAATGTATAACTTATTTTTAATAATGCAATTCGTGGAAGTAATAACAGTTATGGAAGTTATGATTGTTACGAAGCTTACAGTACATTTTGAAGTAACACAGTGTGCGTTATAGGCCTCATCATCGCTTGCACTGCGGTGCGCCCTGATACACCTCACCGATTTTGCATGCGACATATCATCACAAACATCAACACGTCCCTGGGACGCCGATTGGCGAGCAGTGAAGAAGTCGCCGTGTTTAAATTGGCTCGGTCAGACATCCAGGAATCCAGGTGCTTTGACTAAATTTTTATATATAACACACTCGTTATAACTTAGATGTTGCTGCATACCTGTTGGACATCCCGATAAAGCATTGGGTGGCATATGACTTTCCAAGACCAACCTACGACAAGGTCACTTCAAACTTGAGTGAGTCCGCTAATCAATGGTTGTATAATGAGCTTCGCAGCTCAGAGGCCGTGATGCTCCACTTTCGATACAAGTTATAGAGCTCCTATGACTTACTGGACAAGTATGTTAACACAACTAGATCCAAGAGCGCGACTTGGCCAGAGGACGCCATGACACCAGTCCATCAAAGGTTGTATCAAAACCTCCTCATTAAGTCGCGCAGTATCGAGGTTCAATGATATCATGTCCTTTGTACCTATTCGTGTGCACCCAATGCAGTACTTCGATGACGATTACTCGACCAAGCGTTTCAAGTTGATGTACTCAGTTGATGTACTCAGGACACATCGTTCCAATCCCACCGCAAGATCTTACCAACGACCCACTTTCACAAGCGCCACATGCGTGTGGCGTTGGTGTGAACCCATCCAAACCCGGTCCAAAGCCATGACGACGTACAAAGTCTAATGGAATGGAATGCGAAACTAAAATGGAGTTGAGTCTTTGAGTACTGTTAACAATGTAATAGTATAACTTGTGTAACATATGTAACCTCAATAATTTGTTTAACTTAAAAAACTTGAAGAAGTAGTATTAATAATTGAAGTTCAATAACTTCTACAGTAACGAATATCACTCTGGTCCAAAATAGTTGTCATGTTAGACTTCAAAATGAAGATAACTTTCTCGTCCTCCTATCTGATTGGTGTAAATGCAACCTGAAGATCTCCTTTTTGATTGGATACTTCAAGCTGCGCAAAATTCACACACTTGTCGAAGTTATCGAACTTGAAAAATGGCCTTCAATTGGCAAAATATTCAATCACCCGCCAGGGAATCAAATCTTAACTTTAAACCTCCCCATCTCGCCCACTTGATCATGTAGTTGTTGTATTGCCCTTGAAGCACTAACAAGGCTATCTCGCTTCTATGATGTTGTATTTATGATCAAACATGCTCAAAAGATACCATACGCCATACGTGACCATAGACCCTTCGGTAGACGTCTGTCGAATACGAAATCGCACCTGAGGCTAAACGATGCCTAGTCCTAGCCATTTGAACAAGCTACGGCACTGTATTCCGCAAACGGCGGCCTTTATCTTCCGATTTGCTTGTTGTGGTGGAAGTCACTGGATATTTTCAGTATAAATATGCTTCACTCATAGCGAGGTTTGTATATCATATACGAAACATGTACAGTATACAAGTGGCTAAATGATTTGTATTTAGTGTACAAATTACAAGTCAAACAAAACTGCACCTTCGAAAATATGCAACACGGCAGCTATTTTGGACCAGAGTACCGGGGAATGAAGAATGCAAGGCCTAACGAAGTATCCATTATTACTAATGTAGTATTGTCCAATGAAATAATTTCGCACATATACTGTGTTTTGATTGGATATATTTTTATTCTCTAATTTCAAGTCATTCTTTTACAATGGCGCGCATCATGTACCCGATAGCCTTCAAGCTTTAAGCGTTGAGTCTACTTCAGACAATGAACGACTATGATGTCGCCGCCGAGCTTGGTGTAGCGCGGCGCACCTATCGAAACTGGCAAAGCAGACGCTCTGAACTCCTAGCCTACAAGGGCAACAAGAAGCGAATGAAGCTCAAATCTGGCGGCCGCCCCGAAGTGTTTCCTGACCCACCCGGAATGCTTGAGTTCATCCATGGATTGAGGGACGCTGAGCGTGCGCTTACCACGATCCATATGGTCACCTGGATCAAGCGTAACCAGCGTGCATGGCTGATGGAACGAAGCTGCCTATTTTTTTCATCATGAAGGGTGTACTTGGTGGCCGCATTGAGGTGAATGAGTTTCCCACCTTTCCCGTCACCTACACTGTTCAAGAAAAAGTTTGGATGGACGGTCGCGTTTGGAAGACTTACCTGCGCACGGTGCTGCATGACGACATCGAAGAAGCGTCCGTTATCCTTGTGGATAATTTCGGATCGCACGTGTCTGAGGCTTCCTACAAGATTATCAACGAAGAGCTTGGATCGCACCTGTGCCCATTGCCGCCGAACTCGACGTCCATGTGCCAACCCCTTGACGTCGGTGTGGTGGTTCCTTTGAAGCGGCACCTACGGGAACTGTGGCTTTAAAAAGACATCATCACGGGAGATGATGACGATCCATTTTCACTGACCGCTCGTCAAAAACGGTTGGCCTTGAGTAAGAGTGCCATCGCCGCTTGGGACATGGTGTCCACGGAGACGATTCGTAGCAGCTTTGAAAAGGCACTTCCTCAGGAGCCAATGGATTGTCAATAATTCGATTTTGTATGGTGTGTTTATATCACTAGATTTTTGTATGAGCCGCAATGATTTTAAAAAAATAGGAAAAAGTTTGACACACGCCGGGAATTGAACCTGGGGCCCTTCCTCTATAATTGTTATGCCGTCGCACTAAACCATTGCGCCACCGCGTCAAACGCTTACGCTTGTTCCGTGTTTTTAATATACTTTCTTTGAGTTTATTGGGCAAACGGTGAGGATTTAATGGTTTTTGACTGTTGCATTTGACTCCTTTGATGTTTGGCTACCTGTTGGTGGATTTTGTTTTTGTTTACAGTTAAGTGAAGTATTTGTTATGTTGGAGAATTTGTTATGTTGAATTTTGTATGGGTTTGTTTTGGAGTCCTGTGTACTCAGTTGTGGAATTTGAATATTTTTGTGATGCTGTGGCGAATCACATCAGTTGAATTTTTCGTATTTTATCAGACGAGTGATGTATGACACAATAATATTCGAACTTGTCTCGATGGGTGGCTTACAAACTCTTATATATTGTTGTGTGCAACTGTGTCGAGTTCTTTCCCAGTTTACTGTATCAATCATAATTGAATATTATAATGTGCACTCTATGATTAAATGGCCTGCCAAAATGCAAGAATTTGACTTCGACAATACAAAAATAACAATCAAAAGTTGACGCATAATTTAATCTCCTCCAAAATTTAAATCATTTCAACAGTGATTTGAATATTATTTTGACTACCCAGATGCCATTTGTCGAAATGAAAACCGTACTTCGAAGTATAGTAACCAATCAGATGATTCAAAGGTCGAAAAGTCGAAGGTAAAAGTAGGGGCTGGTCGCGGAATATTTCTGTCCATGTTTCAAGATATTCCGAGCTTTTGATTGGTTATTACCCAATATTTCCGGATAAAACAATTGTTCACGCTTCCCGCATAACTCAGACATGGATGCGAGTTTTGAGGCGTGGATGGTCCGTCTACACATGGGATAGTCCGTTCATGTCTGGCACTCATTTTCATAAAAAACGAAAGAGTGTTGATCGACATTTTTTGGATTGCGATGGATACGTCTCAGTTTCGGACGTGGAATTTATCTTCCCCGACCAGCCACTTACCAAACGCCTTGATGTGACAACGTTCTGCGCATTCTGAAGTCAACTACAGGTAATTCATCTGCCGCCCTTCGGCATCCTCAGGTGCGAGCCAGGGAGCATGAACTCCGGCCTCTCGGCCCATAACTGAGCCGATATGCCAATGGATGTTGGCTTAGGGGGTGATGACATAGGGGGTGATGGCATCCCGGTAGTTACTCGGTCCATCTATCCCTTCCACGGCGTGTCGGGATGAAAGAGTCAATTGGTAGAGTTCCGCAGAATGGGTGTCCGACGAGTTACGTCCATGACAGAAGACGGTGCGACCAGTGGTGGTTACGCTCACTGAGCTTAACTTCCAGCTTCTTGCTCCACTCTGGGCGTCTGATTCTGGTAGACAGTGTTTGTCTCTGTTGGGAGGACATCCATTGTTCAGTGTCGAATGCGTCACATTCTACGGAATTCGTAGGCCAGAACTTGGCTTTTGTGGCTAACTGTAAAAGAGTGGTACTTCTGTTGTAGCTGTGTTAGAGCATCTCCACCGCATTCCAGTAAATCGACACACCAATATCCGCATAGTGTTCGGATAACAACCTCCAGTATTGTAATGGACTGATAATTCAGGGTAATTCGCACCGCAAAACGCCCAACTCCAACCAGTAAATTCACCATCATTCGACCATCCTGAGTGGAAACTGCGTTAATTTCGACTATGAGGTATGCTTATCTCCAGGAATAGCACGCAATGATGCGCAACAGGCATGCATATGTACGAAGTTATCCTTATCACCAGGAATGGCATCAACTGTAGTTTCTCGTGAACTAGTAGACGGAGTACGGTGATATACAGATATAATAGGCATCTGCCAGCTCAAAAGGATCCGCGCTATTGACCTTGATAATTCAGCATTCAATGGCGCGGGGCCTGTCGAGTTGTAGACGATGACATGGGTCCTGCAACATTAACAACACAACTACCGGCCGCGAAGACATACCCACCGAATGCCGCACGACTCTCGCCAACGCGGCAAGCCATGCAACTTCGACCGGCGCAAGACAGACACCGCCAACCACGGCAGGATCGGCCTCGGACCGGGCTCGGACCGGCGCACACAAGAAACCGGCCGCATTCGCCTGCGGTCGATGCTGCCGCCTAACAGTAAACTTATCACGGCAGCATCGACCGCAGGCGAATGCGCTATCGGCCGCAACTGACCTACGCTGCAAGAGTCATCACCACATAAGTCATAAGCTATTGACTGCGGCATACATACCGTGCCAGGGCCGCCACAACTGCACCTCGACCTATGCCATGACCGACCCTGAGGCTTCGCTTGCTTCGTGTGTTTATGCACCGACGTCTCTATCCGGCCACTGTAACCGGATACTGACTCCAGCAAATCCAGTACAAGTCCATCAATTCTGTGTGACTTTTACTGGAATATTTACTGGTCAGCAAAGTACTGAACCAGATAATGGTGCGGTGCGAAAATATTTCAGTAAATCAGCACACAGATTTACTGATTGGCCAATTTACTGGGCGCGGTGGAGATGCTCTAAGAGCATCTCCACCGTTGAATAAATACCTGGTGTTTTAGCTAATTCACTGGGCTTTTATAAACGCCAAATAACTCTGAGGAATAATAATCACATGTAATGCTGAAGTGACCAAAACACCTTGGCTGCTAATCCATCGCGTAGTACATGATATCTGCATGTACTATGAGATGGAACAAGAAGATGGCGTGGTTTTCTACGATGTGGCACCATACGTACATCGTTGTACGGTAGAACTCCGGCGCAATGTGTCATTTGTAATATCAAAAGTTGTTCATGATGACCAGTGAATTGTGCAATTTGGTCTTGAGAATAGCAGATATAACTTCGATTTGCACTTTTCAAACGTGCAAAAGCGAGGGAGTTGCATAAATGACCTCCCTATAATTATTTCTGTAACGAAACGTGACATCCTAAATCACGGTACGGATTACTATTAATAGTATCTAAAACACTGGGGCCGATGTAACAATCACCCAAGTTTATGGTGTGAATAGCCAAAACGAGTGAAAAGCACAATACACTGTAGACGAGGAATTCCCCGGCAGAGCCCCCGCAGATCGAAAAAACTACCTGTTCTCGGGGAATTTGAATATCGCCAGATAAACACCCGGATACGTGAATTCTTGCACAGATAAGACCGTTCGAAACCAACGGCATTTACCACAACGAACCACTTTTCAAATTGACTTCATGTGGTCGCCCAAGTGCATGGTTGATGGATGTGGCGTTGTCGTGTGGTACACCTACTTCAAGGTGCACGTGACCAAGGACCACCCGGAGATACCCCAACACCGCAATATCCGCAAGCAGTACGGCCGCCAAGTCGAAGCGAACGACCAGGTGCTTGAGGACGTGGGCGTCGCAGATTTGCACCCTTTACCATTGTTGAAGAGCGTCCTCAAGTATCGTCTCGAAGGTGAAACGACAGTGTGCTTGCTGCTGGCGCTTTGTCGAAAGAGTGGTAGTGATCCTAAGGCAGTCCTCCAATCAATGATTAACGAGCATGAGGCGGACGAGGACTACGCATTTTCGCCGCCGATGACCCCTGTATCATTGCCCTCGTCCACCCCTGTTCCACCATTTGCGGCCGCTGTTGCATCCAGCATTCCATCGACTCCCGTTGTTGTTGCTCCTCTTCCCCCTTCGAAAGGCGCAGACCCCAGAGAATTAGCAGACTGACAAAAATGTTGTCATAAACGCTTTATAAGTGGAATGTATTCATGTTGAAGTGTTAACGGTCAAATGTTTTGTACTTCGTAATTGTAGAAATAATATAAGTTACGTTATATTTAGAGATTATTCAGGGTATATAAGTTTTTTATATACTTCTACTTATACGTTACTGTAGAAATTTTTGAAGTTTATTGAATATTTCTACTTAGAGCATCTGCACCAGTGCCAGTAAATTTGACTCCATTATCCGGATAACTTGTTCGGATAAGCGAGTTACTGGCGCCATTAAGGGCAAATTTTTCTCTCGTTTTGATTTCGCACCGAAGTGCAGTACTCGGGCTTAGAAATGCTTGTAGTTTGATCGTTTCCGACGATTAGATCGAGCGAGGCACTCAGCCATGCGTGACTTACCTGCCCCTGCTCATGTGGGGTGAAGTTTCGGGAGCGTTCCTTCATTGCATGTTTTGCTAACGTTATATGTATGTATAGTGACGTTTATTCGCGTACATGAGCTAACTAAGAAATCATTTGCGTCTACAGCTAGCGGACTTCGCATACCGGTACGTCGAACATCAGACGTCTGAGTGCTGGGGAATGGTGGGGCATGCGGTGACGATCTAATCGGTCAGGAAGCCGCGGACAAGATCTATCCACCGGATCTTGTCCGCGGCGGTGCGGTGGTGGAGCGAAGGGCCTGCAGGTCGGTGACGCACGTGAGGCGCTGGAGCCGAGGACGGTATTGAGGTCAGGGTTGAGGGCGCGAGGCAGCGACGTGATGGGGCGTCCAGGCCAATGCTCAGCAACGGAAAAGCTGAAGGACCGGGTGTGAGCGTGCGCAGAGGAAGACGCAGGAGATGGTAGAATCAAGAATGAATTGATAGCGTTAAGACTACTACGCTATCACTAAGCTACGCGCAACCAACCATTGATGTATCGTCGGGGGAAAACTTGGTTGCATAAGAGGACTTGTAGGTGTGCAAAGAGACACCTTGGACTGAAGAGGTTTCGACTAGTCATCCGGTTAGCAACCGGATGATGGGCACGGTTACACGGGGCATGGACTTGTACGCCACTGGGGCCTCCTTGGACATATCCTATGGGGTTGACGGGATACTGGAGGATGTGGCCAAGGAAGTCCCAGCGGGAGCGGAGCAGGCGGAAGCTCCTTGGCGACTGCGTCGGCGCAGTCGCGAAGGAGCTTGGAATGGGGAACAAATACACAAATCGATCGAATCACAGATGAATATGATTGGTCAGTTGACTTACTGGAGGCCAGTGCTCCAACAAAAATTCCAACAAATTTACTGAAATATGTGTTGGAGTAGTGGAGTCCAGTAATTTTTTTACTGGCTATAGGTACCGGTGTGAACGGTTTTTTGGAATTCCAGTAAATCGCCCAATAAAATTATTGGGATATGAGAACTGCTGGTACCGATGCTCTTATACTATTCGTTACTGTAGAAGTTATTGAAGTTTATTAAATATTTCTACTTATACTACTAACGTTACAGGGGAATTCAGAATGCAAGGCTTAATGAAATGGGTAGCGTACATCGAAGAGTTTTGTACGCCCATGGCGTCTAGAGCTATTTACTATCTGGATGGTACTCTGATTGTCCTCATGACGAGGAATATATGTGTGATGGGATGTCCCATCTCACCAACTGTCTGAGATACTGTTGTCTTGCGCCGGTGTTCGCAACCGACGACTACCGTGTTCACAACGGTGACCTCGATGACAAATCCAAAAGTAAGTTCATTATCCAGTCAGTCAGTCAGTTCCCTCCTATCACTTCACTACTCTCTACAAGTCATGCATCGTACAGTGTACCATCAGCTCGGAACACATGCCGCTCCGATCCAGGTCATATTTCACACTCTTCAAATGTCGTTCGTGACCAACATTCGGCTACCCACACCAGGCACGGGGAGTCGAACAGAGGCTCGGCCGATACACTTCCCCCCCTACATTGGGTGGCCACATGCACTCGTGAGATCGTCTATCATTTCGCTCACGCCGTCTTCGTTGCTCCGGGCCTTGGCCCAGCGACGGAATAGCACGGGAACGTCTTCGTAGATCGATAGGGCCGGTTCCCAGGACGACCCCAGATCGTCTAGGCCAAGCCACTTGATCAGGACTTTCCAGACCCCATCTCGCAGACGCAGGTCCCGGAGGTCTTCCACGTAAAAACCTTCATCGCCGAACGCGATTTGGGTCTTCAAATCTTCATTGACTTCACGTCCGCCCTCGCAGTACAGGCGGAGCCGGCTGGCATGGTGCAGGGACGTCGCTCCCGGAGGCACCAGCTGCTGGACTTCCATCAGGTAGTCGGAGACCACCTTCACGACCCGAAAGGGTCCCTTCCAACGCAACGCTAGCTTTCCCGGATGCTGGAGAGCCCGGGCCACCAAAACAAAATCGCCCAGCGTAAATTTCGCCAGCTTCACGGAACGTTGACCATCACGACGGTACCGGGCCTTAGCGCGCTTTGCTGCCGCCGTCTCTGCCACGTGCTTGTGCATAATTCCCACGGCATCTGCGAGCTCCGTCGCGTGGTGTATCGCCCAGGACTTAATCCAGTCGATCGTTACCACCCGGGGCTCGTCCGGGTGGACCAGTCCAGTCAGGGGAGGTGTAGCAGGCAGGCCCGTAAACGCCGTCGTTGGCGCTACGCCATCCAAACGGTCGGCCGGCTGCTAATTCACGGCAGACTGTACCAGGGGTAACACCCCCGGCCAGTCTCCGGGTTGCAAGCGCATCTCGCTGCACAGGGTCTTCAGGGTCCGGACGACGATCCGGTTCACCACCTCAACTGTCCCGTTGGCCCAGGGGCAGTGTGGTGTGACAAAATGATGATGAACACCAAACATACGACCCAGGGTACTGACCAGTTCGTTCTTGAAATGGGACCCAGAGTCGGATACCCAGGTCCTGACCACCCCGAACAGTCCAAACCATTCCATCAACGCCGCGGCCGTCTCTGCTGCAGACGCTGTCGTACTGGCATGTATGTAACCGAACGAACCCGCTCATGTCATCCTTGATGACCAGGACGTATTTCAGGCCTCCCGGAGCCTCCGGGAGCGACAGCCAATCGAAATGAATCAACTCATTTGGCTTCGTGGCATACAGCGCTTCACCCCAGGGACGGGGTACCGACTCACCATCGACCACCATACAATGCAGGCAGGCAGTGACGAAGG